TAAGACCTTGCTTCAGCTGATCAGGTGACTAATTTCAGAGTAACCATGGTATAATATATGGTCAAATATAGTGAAATATAATTCAAGTGAAAGTGAATGTTTATATGGAAGTGAATGATTTAATCTTCTTTTATTTTAACAGCAATGTGACAAGACATCTAATGAGTCTGGTATAACTGGAGCGTTGTTGTTATCAGTTGTTGGCGGTAAAATGAGTGAAGGAATAAATTTCTCAGATGGCCTTGGAAGGTATTTTATTGAACCCATGTCTTCACTGCCATTGTGATTGTGTTCTGTATACAACTCTGAAACAGTGATTCACATTTCAAATCTTGCTTGCATGGTTTAATGACATACATTTTGCAAACAATCAAACTACAGCAGAGAACGATTTCTTTGAAAAATTATTTGATTGAGTGTTATATATTTGGTGTAAGTTTACTCTGGACATAGTACCACCCAAAAATCTTTCAACATATTGGCACAATGTCAGACCAATGATGAATGTGAAGTTAATTATAATTAATGTTGTCTTAAGGTGTATTGTGATGGTTGGATTACCATACCCAAATATTAAGTCACCAGAATTGAAAGAAAAAATGGATTATCTTAACAGTACTATGGTAAGTGTCACTACATTGATATCATGCCACAATTGTCTTCGTAACGCTGTAAGAAACACGATGAGTGAGACTTGCAATAATTTTCCTTATCACACCTGGCCCTGTTTGACCATATTTGGTTACCTTGGTACATCATGTTTCCAGAGATGACTTTCATAGCTAGTCACAATGTAGAGTTTTGTCATTATGTTGTAAGACTTGACTTTGTCAAATATTGATCACATTATTTTCAACTTGCTGCTGAACACAAAGATATATGGCACTGAAATCTAACAGCGATCTGGTTAGGATTCAAGCAGTGGTTCCAGTTCAAAAGAATTGCGAGCATGAAAAAATGTTACAACACTTGTGTGTTGTGTTGATGTTGTTATGTCAGTCATAACAAATAGTAGAAATGGTAGAATAAGATTAATAACCAAGATAAATGAAAAACCAGTATTCTTCACTATGTCAAATGTATTCTTAGTTTCCTTTTTAAGTCACCGTTCAGACGAAGTCCATTACTCGGACACCCTTTGACAGATCTCGTTCAAACTTGACATACAGACAATGTATGATGACCTACATATGCACGCCAATTTTCGTTATGATTCGATTAAATATGGCTGACTGGCAGCCATTTTGACCTCAAATTTGCTAAATTCTGATATTTAAACGTGTCCGGAACTGTTTCTCGGAGCTGAACAGGGTGATTTCAATCAAAATTTGTATGGTGATCATGCATATTTGGTTACACATTATTACACATATTAGGTGCACGTCACTTTTTTTTCGAGATTCGGTCTAAGATGGCCAACTGGTGGCCATTTTGTTTTTTTCCATTTTCATGCTGATTCCTCCATAAGATAAGGCCTGATTCAGTTCAAAGTTTGTACATAGGTACTATACTTTGAGATAACACAACACCATGTTTTGTTTTGATATTTAATCATATTTGTCGAAATGGTGGCTATTTTGTTTAATATCTTGAAATCACAGTCTGTAACATGTTCGGAACAGTTTCTTGGAGATTAGCAGGGCGATTTCAATCCAACGTTTGTATGGTGATCATGCATATTGGGTTAAAGGTTCACGTTATATTTTTTTCAAAATCTGAACCAAATTGCCGACTCACTGCCATTTTGTTTTTTCCTTTTTGTGCTGATTCCTCTGAAAAATATGGCCTGATTCAGTTCAAAGTTTGTACATAGGCATTATACTGCCAGGTAACACAACAACATGTTTTGTCTTTGTCGAAATGTAAAATCACATTCTGTCTAGGACGATATGGCCTGATTCCGTTGAATAGAGCATTTTCAATCAAACTTTTATGATGACCTTACATATTAGGTTACGGTGCAAGCCATATTTCTTTTGGAGATACTTGAACAACGATACCTGACTGGCTGCGTTTTTCTTTCATGCTATTTCCTCTGTAAGATATAGTCCAATTCAGTTCAAAGTTTTCACGTAGGTACTATACTGAAAGTAACACAATATATAATCTGTGAAAGTGTTAAAAAAAAACATTGATCTTTCATTTCTACATGTCACTTGTACTGAACATTGACTACAGCTAATACTGAACGACAACTATGCTTATTTTGACATATGAAATTGTCCACAAAATAGCTGCTCAGGAATGATACAAAATAGCCAATTGTATGCATTGGTTGATTGTTAGTCCCCGTTCGAACAAAGTCGGAAAACGGACTTATAATTCGATCTCCGTCCGTCTGTCCAGAGTCGTATCTCAGAATCCCTTGGACCGATTCCGTTCATTTTTTGCATGTGCCTAGTACCTTATGTGGGACATATGCACATGCAGTGGTTTAGCGATTCGATTCAAAATGGCCGACTGGCAGCCATGTTGTTTTTTGAAAATGTTGTATTTTGGACATGCTTTGTCAGTTGTCATTCAAACTTGGTACATAGATTATACATGTTAGGATACATGTCCATGACGATTTATTGCGCATTTGGATCAAAGATGGTCGACTGGCAGGCATCTTGTTTTTGTATTTTTATGCGGTATCTTGGATGTGCTCTGTCAGTTTTCATTCAAATTTGGCACATACATGTACTTTATACATGTTAGGATGCATGTCCATGACAATTTGTTTCAAAATCTGGTCAAGGATGGCCGATTGACAGCCATCTGACTTTACTACTATATTTCCACAATTTATGTACCATTTTCATTCGTATTTGGCACATACATCATACATATCAGTGTATTTCATAATCAGATCAAAGAAGGCCGAATAACGACTGTTTTTATTTTGGCCATATTACTATGACACAAACACGTGTTTTGATGTAAATAAACAATCTGTTGTATACGCCACTTGGAACTCAAGTTTCAAGGACATGCTCGCGACAACCCCTCCGCTTTAATATGACGAGCACAAAGAGAACTTTCAAAAATTTAACGGGGACTGTGTCATTTTCAATGACTTGTTCACCCTGATTTATTGCGTGATTTTTTTTTTCAGGGACCATCTGGTGATGGTAAACTGCCAGGACAAATTCATTATGAAAATCTATGCATGAAAGCTGTCAATCAGTCAATTGGTTTGTATACTCCAAAAATGTTTATATTAATAGTAGTTTTAGTAAAAGATTGCAAACTTTCTGTTATGGCATCATTGGTTGATGGAAATGACAGTCATTATTCAAACTCATCACTATCTTGTTACAATTTCATTTCAGGCCGTGCGATTCGTCACAAAGACGACTATGCAACAATATTACTCCTGGATCACCGCTACGCTAAATCACATATCAGAACAAAATTACCAGGATGGATTGCTAGTGAGTTGCAAGTAATGCAGAAATTTGGTCCAGCACAAGCAGCAATCAAAAAGGTGAAAAGTCTTACAGAACACGTACTTGACCATACCTGGATCTAGCAGTAATTATGCCATTTATAATACGGGATCTATTTTTTCAATAAAATAGTATACTGTATAATGTTAAACAAGAGACTTGTGATAATTGTCACCTGTCGAGGGCCAGTGACTGACAGACACACATGGGTTATTAATGTACTTAATTATTTATGTGAATTTTTCAAAAACACCTATACAAGTTTGATGTGTGTCACACTACATCTCACAGCATCTTTGTACCATTGAGATATCAGTACAACAGACACACTAACCACAAAGGCTCCCATTGTGTGCTTTATGCTAGAGTCAAAATTAAAAAGAAAAGACAAGCAATGTATTAATCTTTTATTTGGAATTTTAAAGAAAACATTACATGACTAATTTGACACAAAGACTAATGCAGGGTCCATAGCACCAAGAGCCAAACTTTCTTGCATTTTTCCCCAAGACATTTTGACCCTTAATTCAGGCCAACATCATCACCAAAGCACATCAAAGTTCTGAGGATATGTTAGTTCCCTGGAGAAAACGAGTCTTTCTAAAATGAAATAATAACTATGAAGAAATTTAAAGACAACTCAAAGACTTTCCAGACCACGAAAAATCCAAAGGATTTTTCTAACGCTATGGACATTGTAATGATATTAATTTATGTAAGACCAAAAAAAAAAGTTTTGCTTCTTGTTCTAGGAAGCAGTGATGACGTTTCAATAATAAGATTTACTTGGATCAACAAAACAAACATTTCCACATGTGTGCTAAGAAGCATAACTTATTTTGGTATCTAAACTAGAAGTAAAACTTTTTGTATTACTAGTAGGTATATAATTTGTGCATTTCATAAGAAATTACATCCTATATATATATATATTCCCAAAATTCTAATTATTTGATATAATTTTGTTATTTTATTTCAGTTCTTCGTTTCAAAGGAGTCTGAGTAATTCATGTTCCTGAGAGCAATTTATTGGGTTTCCATAGAAATGGTGAAGGCACTGCTTTTGTTATAATAGACAGCAACGAGTATGGTACGGTTTTCACTCAGAATTTAGGTTTTTTGCTTCGTTCGAATATTTTCAACAGCCATTTCAGGCAATTATACTAAGTTTAATAGTTATGATATTAACAACTTATTTTATTTTCAATCATATTTCTTTGTTTTTGTCTAAAATTGTTACCATATTGGAAGCAATTATTAACCTTTTCCACCAGTTTATTTATATGTTAAATTTGGACCAAACAGACTTGGTTTTATCATTGTGCAGAGTGAGAGTCAAAAATAGAGAATATATGGTACAATACAAACTCTGAGGGATAGCACCATTATTTTAGAGGGGGGCAGCAATTTATAATTAGAAGGATAATTTCTCTCCACATATGCCTCTCTCAAACAGAACAAGAAGGAAAACGAATCTGCCCCAAAATGTTTATTCATCCTCAGAATAATGGTGTGCCCCAAATTAACAGATACTACCAAAGACTGTAAACTTCTTGTTAAAATATTGATATAAAGTAGAAATAAAATTGTGCTTTTGCCAAACATACATGGCAGTGATGGACTACAAAAATGGTCTTTATTTGAACTGTTGTATAGAATAAGTTTGCATGGTGGCGTAGTCTCAAGTGAAAAAAAAAAAAAAATTGTTTTTCCAAAATTGTTATGTGCTGAAAGATAAATGCCTGTTCACCACCATATGAACTTATTTTTATTCTGCTCATTGCTTTAGGCTATTCTGCTGCTACTATTTCTAGACTTGCCATGCCAGTCACACCACTGAGCTGTTTTGAGTGAAAACTAGCCAATAATTTACGGCGACCAGTTTTGACTGGTGTCAGTTTCACTTCTAATTCAGTGTCTTTGCCACTTGGCACATTTCTGCAAAAAAAAAAGAGATAAATGTTTAGTATCTTAGGGAGTTTCTTTTTTAGAGGATAAGCATCCTTTAATATTCCACTTATCGCTCAAGATTTATTTGATGAATCTGAACTGTACAAACCCCAAAGCCCTTACGATGTTTTCTGCAGATCATACAATTTTTATGACAAGTCTATATGACTTTCAAAAAAAATTAATCATGCCTATCTTACCTGACAGTTTTTCTAATCTGTCCATCGATACCAGCTCCTTCAAGTCGAAATGAACAGAACTGTAAAGTGATCGGCAGTGGATTGGTGAACATGACAGTAGCTTTGAAGGGATCTCCTATTGTCAGCTCACCAGAGGGGTCAATCTGTGATAAAACAAATATTAATGAGCAAGTACACTTTCAGGAATGATCGAGATGTGTCAAAAATAGGTCTCTGTTATTGACAGTCGGAATTGGGAGAAATGCTATTGATGCCAAAAAAAAGAAGTTATATGGACCGAAAGCATAGTTAGTAATTGAGAGCGAATAATTGGCTGAGGTACAGCTCTAGAACCGCATTAATTAAAACAAAATGGCCACCAGTCAGCCATTTTAAATCTGATCTAAATAAACAGAATGACGTGCATCAAGGTCCCATAATTTCCAACCATATGCACCAAGTTTGAACAAAAACCATCCATAAATTCTTGATAATTTGTCAACACAAAAATGGTTGCCATTCGGCCATCGTGAAACAAATTGATGTACAAAGTTTGAATGTAATCAGTCCAGGCATGTCTAAGATATAGGTCCAGATGCACAAAGTCCATAAGTCTTGGTTTTCGAACAGGGACAAATCAAAGAAAGCTTAGAAAGAACTCCCGTGTGCTGAGTATTGAAGACACATTAAAAATTAATTCAAAATTACTTGTACATGAGATATTGATGGAAAAACTGAAAACTAATTATGTAAATCAGGCAACTAATATATGAATTATTATGCTAATTAGAGAATTAATATGAACAATTTCTATTGTTCTAGAGCATTATGTACCAAATTGTATTCAAATGTGATGATTAGTAATTGAGATATCAGTGGTTAATAAGCATAAATATTTACCAAAAACTAATTGGGTCTCTGCATAGTTCGCTTAAAAACAAATTTGTGGTTCTTTATATATCAGTGGAACATAGTCCTAGAAGATCTATGTAGCAAGTCTCATTGAAATATGATGATTAGTACTTGAGATATCAGGCAAAAAGCTGAAAATTAACTAATTATGCCAAATATTTACCCCAAAACTAATCGGGGGTCTGCACAGTCCTTGAGTAACTATGTACCAAGTGTCATTGAAATGTGATTATTACTACTTGAAATATCAAAAGCTGAAAATTAGGTAATTAATATGTACTGATATTACCCTAAAAACTATCAGGTTTGTGCAGTGTCCTATGACATCTATGTACCAAGTTTTATTGAATTGTGATGATTAGTACTTGAGATATCAGTGGAAAAGCCGAAAATTAGGTAATTAATAATGCACAGATATTTACCAAAACCTAATCAAATCTGCACATTGGCCCAAAGCATCTATGCACCAAGTTTCATAAAAAATCAATGTATGGTTCTTGAGATATCAGTGAAACAGACAGACAGACACACACACACTAACTAACTGCAAAGACTCCCTTTTTGTGCTCCGCACACAGGAGTCAATAAATGACTCTTCAAAAAATTGAAATATTAGTCAGAAATTAAACAGGATATGCCATTTATGCATTTTTTTATATCCCAACTGAATTTCCTTTGTCTAGACTGGTGTACAGAGATATACCGGTATGATTGTCATGGACAATTTGAGGAGAAATACAAGATGGCTGCCAGTTGGTTATTTTGGATTAAAACACAAAATGAATGGACATGTTTGTATCAAATTTGAACAAATCCTTTCCAAGATACCATGTTTTATTGAAAACAAAATTTGAAAAGTCATTTATTGTATTTCACAAAGAGGCTCCTTGTCAGTCCTCATTTGCATAAAATCACCAGGGTGACATCGTAGTAGGAGAATGCTTCCAATTTCTTGTATGTTGACACTACCATTAAAATTGTGATAATTATTACGCTGTATTATTAGTAAAGGCTAAACCTAATTTGATTTGAGTTCAACCTGTCATCGTAGTTTATAATAGCATATTTTGAGTTTGATACACAATAAAAAAAGTATGTGGATGGATCATATAATATCCTACTCACTGTGACTTCCAGATCAGGTTTGCGGAATCTAAAGTCAAAATTTCCAGCAAATGTCTGTTTAGTATCTTTCACACCAGCCATGATGAAGAATTTTAAAGCAGCACATTCTGTCAGCAGATACTGATAATCTGATACTTCAATTGTTAGCCCATGAGTAATGGCTGGAAAAATAAATGAATCAATAAATTTTAAGCAATTTGCTGAAAACACAATGTTGTAAGAAATACTGATTAAAATACTGGTTCAGTTTGTCATCTCAAAAGTGAACTTACTTTCCCCAGGGCCTATTTTCAGAGTCTCCTTATCGACCTTCACTCTATGTGCTTTGACACCTGTGTAATAAACTGTATTGCATGTTACCGTGGTAACTACTTCACGAGAATCAGTCATGTGGTCATTAGTGATCTTGATTTTAACATCAACTGGTTTACCAATCATCAATTCGTCAGGTATGTCCACCTCAAATCTTGCGTCTTTTTTAATGTCTTTATGGAGTTTCTTTGCAGATTTTACATGCTTGATTGCAGATAATACAGACAGTCTTTCACGGTCTGAACCTGGCAAGAAATTGCATAAATCAAGTGTTAGAACTTTCAATAGACGAATACGATGTACGTCTTTCTATTGGATGAATTGATACCATTTGTTCTACCGGTATATATTATATCTTTCTATTGGAGGAAATATGATACATGTCTTTCTATTGGAGGAAATATGATACATGTCTTTCTATTGGAGGAAATATGAAACCTGTCTTTCTATTGGAGGAAATATGATACATGTCTTTCTATTGGAGGAAATATGATACATGTCTTTCTATTGGAGGGAATATGAAACCTGTCTTTCTATTGGAGGAAATATGAAACCTGTCTTTCTATTGGAGGAAATATGAAACCTGTCTTTCTATTGGAGGAAATATGAAACCTGTCTTTCTATTGGAAGAAATATGATACATGTCTTTCTATTGGAGGGAATATGAAACCTGTCTTTCTATTGGAGGGAATATGAAACCTGTCTTTCTATTGGAGGAAATATGATACATGTCTTTCTATTGGAGGGAATATGAAACCTGTCTTTCTATTGGAGGGAATAATCCTACCTTCTGGGTGTTTATACTGTAGAGTTACATCCTCTCTGTCATCGCTGTCTACTGCCTTGGTACTCATATTTTTACCGATTTTAAATGGATCCACATCCACTGGTTCTGGTAACTATAGAAACATAGTATAATAGTATAAAACATAATCACTTTAATAAAAATATATCCTGTTTCATTTGCATGGTGTAATGTGAATAGCAGCATATATATGGCTGCAGGTAAGAAATTATTGGGAGTGAATATCTGGGCACTTACACTGCCTGACAACCATGGTTGGTGAAAAGTTATTGAAAACTTTCACTGTACTTTAGGCTAGTTGTTGAGACTCCTGACACAATACTACTCCTACATGAGTAATATTTTAGGTGAACAAGAACACTTACTTGTTTATCTTTTGATACTATCCAATTGACCGACTCTGCGTTTACTTCAGCAAATATAAACTTAGTATCGTATCCCAGATAGACGTCTCCATTCTTGATAGCAGCCAAGGAAGCAGGACCAGTACGAAATATTCCTGTAAAAAGTTATTGACATGAGTCCCCTTTGCCCAATATTAAGCAAATCTGACAGTCAGTCATTTTGAATCAGAACTTTAAATGAATGCATATCAATATATGTAACATGGTGTATAATTTCTCAGTGATTTTCAAACTGGTCTGTAAAACAAAATGACTTGCCTCAACGATGATGTATAGTATGTACTAAAGTTTAAACAAAATCTGTCCATATATGACCTGGTTCTAGAATGGCATAAATGTGTGACTTTGATATGGCCACTATGAATATGTGATAGGTTCATGTCACAGGTCATTGCCAGTCAGTCGGCCATTTTAATCTGAAAATGTATAGATAAAGCTGATAAAATATCTGTTTATCTATATATGATAGAAATCTGTTTCAAAAATAGCAGAAATTGTCATCATTTTAAATTGGATTGTGAAATGAAAAGTTAGAATGTGATTGGTCAAAGCATGTCAGAGATATGCTCCTAAAATAGCATTCATGCATCAAGTTCATTGTGTTCAATGGACGTACCTAGTTTGAATAAAATACGTCCATGCACGACTGAGATTTGGTTCCAAAAACATATGAATGCCTAAAATTGTCGCCATTTGGCCATTTTGAATTTGATCATGAAAACAAATGTATGAGTGAAGTTAATTGTAATCAGCCTAGGCATGTCTAAGATACAGGTGCAGATGCACAGAGGTAAAAGTATAAGACCTCTACGTCCGGACGATGACTAATCATTGGATTAACCCTCCCCTCCACAATGTATTACACACCCTCACTGGTTTCCTGAGGTGTTGCGTCAGCTGCTTGCCATCCACCGTAGCCTGCTGGCAAATCAGGTCTTGCCATCCAACAGTCATTCCACACATGGAAATTCCTTCAAGACATAATGATAGAATTGCATTGCATTCAATCATGTTAATTTATAATGTAAGAATTGTGTTTGTTGTGATTGCATCACTGAACTCAATATCATTAAGAAATACCAGGCACAGTATTTACAGTAATCTAGTTGACTTTATATTATTTTATTCAACACATTTACTCCTTTATTCATTTAGCTTGAGTATTGACAGCCCCTACTGTGTGTTTTCATGTAGTTCTCAACTCTTATATAATGTTTATTTAGTTGCAGATTTTAGCATTCAATCTTTTGTAAATTTATAGTGTACTACTGTATCTGCGGGTTCACCATGGAGCCATCAAAGCAGGTTACCTTAATCCTGTTTATTTTTTTTGTCAACAGTGTGCCCCCTTCTTCGCCGCAGAATAAATAGGTAACATTAAATACTACACTTTGAGTTCGATTCATAAATAGCATTTTACGCATGTTTCCCTTAGCAAGGATATACTAGTATCTCAATGTCTTAAACTTTACATGCAAACAAATTCAAAAACATGTGTTTGGTTCAAGGTTTTTTTTTTGATGACAAATTACTGTGAACAATGTTCACATTTGAACTGCACATAGTGCAGGCAATATAGGTACATCTAGTTTGGATGACAGAGTTGCTTCACCATTTGGCAACTTAATGATACATTGAAGGAAAACTCAAATCATAGTTTCTATGAAAAAATTCTTGGTTGCATCATGATTCTTACCAAACACTATCATCATTGAGGTCTTCTAAGGGTTCTCCGTCTTCACTATAATGATAGTCTAATGTCAGGTTACCGTCAGTATCATGGGCAGACTCAAAGTTGGTGACGGTACGTGCTGGTATTCCTAGAGCTCTTAATACTGAAATATATCATATAACAACGAATAAATATCTTGATTTATACTGAAATATATCATATAACAACGAATAAATATCTTGATTTATACTGAATTACAGTCAGCATACAATACAACAATGTGACATTTCATATGGTTCTATCCTGTGGACTGAATGCATTAATTGCTATCATTCAATTCAAGAACAAACTTTCTTTCGGCAAAAATGTATCGTCTTTTATTTTAAATTGTATTGTACAATGACATTATTGCTGTGAGACTGACAAATGCTCATCATTTGGATGCATTCTGTTTTAAACCATCTTGTTATCCTCGGGGCAGTGTAATTCACTTAAACTGGTCCCATTTTATGTCCTGGTTGTCCATTAAAGAATGTGCTAACAACTATGACCTCATTAATTGTGCATAAAGTAATAATCACCCATACTTGACCCACCTGTAGTAAATAATCCAGCGAAAACCCAACACTGCCCGTACTTGACTGGTTTACCAGTGTCTACATATTGCTGTAGTATAGCTACACTACCAGCCCAGTCTGTCGGTTCAGTACCGTCCTCGTAATCACCAGACCAATTACCTTCCAGGACACCATTATCATCTTGGCTATTCAACTAAAAGTGTATTTAATTCAACAAAGTGTTACACATAAACAATTATTCCTGAAATTACAGATTACCTAAGAATATGGATATCATATTTAACGCAACTAGGTATAATTCACATGGAAGCACCTACTACTTTTGTCAAATTTGAATTATATGAAATAAAATTCACATAAACAAAACCTCAGAATGACTTTAAAGCAGAAAAATACATACATGTATCCCTTGATCGTAATTATAAAAACAATTGGTATAAATAGATAGACTTTTGTACCTTGTGTTGTGTCATACTGTGATATGTGAGTGTAGTTTTGTTTTGTTTTCATCAAATAAAATAAAATGTATATATCACATATTGCATTTGTGAATAAAATGAATATCACGTACATGTGTATTGTGTATTAACATAATCATTGTTTTTAAAAGCAAAGTAAATGGTTGATAAAAAAAGAAACTTGGGTCGAAGGCAGAATTGGGAAATTTGCACAGAAAAATGTTTTTAGTATTAGGTATTAGAAAAACAAACACAAATAGTGGCACTATACACAACATTAGAATGTTAGGCATTAAACCATGTTTATGATGTCATAAACTCTGACTGAAATCACTTGTACAGTACAATTAGATTACATGTACAGTTAGATATGGTTGTTGTTATTTTGAAAATAAGGTAATGTAGCATTCATACATTAATTTTTAGCATTTTTTTTTTAATAAAATAAAATATGGGGAAAAGCCAGGTTATCACGAAACAAACAAGAGACCCGTGTCCCTTGCTAATAATATTAATGAGCATTTCAATGACATCACAATTCCTTTAAAGATGGCTGTCAATAGCAGGCAAGTGTATGCTAACAAGCTTCACAACTGTTGTATTAACAAAGAGAATGCATTTGTATTGTATGTTTGGTCAAAGATAGAATCAAAGAAAGCTTAGAAAGAACTCCCCATGTGCTGAGAGTATTGGGGACACATTAAAAATAATTCAAAATTACTTGTACTTGAGATATTGATGGAAAAGCTAAAAACTAATTATGCAAATCAGAAAATTAATATTAACAGATTTGAGTGTAAAACTAATGAGGTCTGCACAAAGTAACAGACCATCTATGTACCAAGTTTTATTGAAATGTGATTAGAACCAAAAAATTATGAATTATTATGCTAATAAGGAATTAATATGAACAGATTTTAACCCCAAATTACCGTAAAAACTCGATTAATTCGCGGTAGTAAAATTAATTATTTTTTCAAGTGCACGAATTAATAGCGTAAAAACGGAAATTATTGGTTTTTGGTGCGCGAATTAAAAGAGTACTTTTAGATCGATTCAAAAAGCAGCTGTTTTCATAAATTTATTAGTGATTTGTTTTGTTTTCCAATGAACACAATTACAGGACGTTTTTTTAGTGCCTCTGAGACTCGTGGCTAGCGACATTCATGGCGAATAGTCGGGCAGAGAACACGCACTGCGTCAAGGACCACGCACCATGTTACACTTGAAATGAAACAGTGAAATGGCAAAGCTCACTTTGTACACAAACAAACAATGAACACGTGGCTACAAAGTAGCCGTCTGGCTGCACTGCCTTTTTTTATTTTTCTAGGCATCGACTGGGCGATGTTATGGCAGACATTACAAAGCCCATCTTGTCTGGAAAAATAACCCTGCGCTGTTAAAAATGGTCTCAGAAAATAATGTTTCGCGTTGACCAAATATAATCATGCAAAGTATAAATTCAAAGTGTTTCAATACATTGGTGAGAGGTCGCATTTTACGTGAACAAGAGCATGCACTAAGAAGGAAAAGCAAGCCAAAGTCGAAACGGGGTGCATCATGGACATGACACAACACACGCTGCGACAACGGAGTGATCAGCGACATCATTTTGGGACGCAATTGAACTTCAAGTACTTCTTTGCGAAACTTGCTGCGCGACGATGCTGACATCAAGTGTGTGTTGACCGAAGTTTGACCTCAAGTCACGCACTGAACTGGCGCGTTACCTTAGCAACCTTTTTTCTTTCAAGCCCCGCGCGTCAATCTAGTAAAATTGTTATTATATCCGAAGGTACTGTAATTACGCAACTTGTATGCAACTCTGTACTGGCTTTGAATATATCAACGTCGTTTACTTAGTGCACTGCTTTTCTAATTACGCAAATTTGTTTACAATATTGTACCGGCTCTGAATATTTCAACTTCGTAATGTATTGCTTTCATGATAATTAGTTTTTTTTTTTTAACCGTTTGAATTACGTGCGGCATTGGGCAATGACCTCCATTGATATTTAAATTCGGGCCACCCAGCTTGAAAACGTCTTTCTTGGATAAAAAATACATCAGTACAAGATTATGTGTGCAAGGTTAGATTTATAGAACGTACATGACTGCTGTGTTTTTTACCGAATCTGGTATAATGAAAATGTAACACGAAGTCAATCGCCCGACCAATCAAAAACGTCAATTTACGCACTATAGGGCGGTTTACTTAAATGACGTACTAGACTGGCGCAGTCGGGGCAATTAATTTGTTTTTGTAGTTTAAATAAAATTAAATAAATTGCGAAATTGAGGTGTTAGCGCAAAATCCCTTGTAACTGCGAAATCACCTCGACTGTTTTACTCTGCAAGGCCCTCTATCGACACTGCAGGAACCCGTCGATTTTTCAACGGGTTATGTTAATGAGTGTTCTAATTGACAATCATCTGAGCCAATCACAGCGTCTCTTCAACTGACCTCTGACCGAGAAGACGTCGGCTGATTGTAGCAGTCGATATTTTTTTAATTCTACGACTAGTACGAGTTACTTTTTTAAACATTGTGATGAATTAGAAACGACGACTACGACAAACTCGAATTTCAACGTGCAGCCATGTTGGGTCTGCAGTGTGACCTTCACCATGTTGACCTCATTATGCACGTATTTCCGCGCTCACCTCATTATAATATGTGCATCATGAATATTTAATAGCAATGAATTTCGCAAAATAAACCAGTTCGGGGTGATTTCGCGCTAACACCTCCATTTCGCGATTTTTTTTTTATTTTATTTAAACTACAAAAACAAATTAATCGCCCCGACTGCGCATTCGCGCTAACACCTCCATTTCGCGATTTTTTTTTATTTTATTTAAACTACAAAAACAAATTAATCGCCCCGACTGCACCAGTCTAATGACATACTAGTAATAGAATAATGGCGGACACATGGTCGAAGCAACCCTGTAGACCAGCGACGAAAAAGCCCTGTACTAAGCTTTCCATCACGGAAATTCGTAATCGATGTGCTGACCGATGGATATTTATCGACTAAGTAATAATCTTGCCCAACATCTGTAGTGTCGTGGGGGAATGATTTTTTTCACGTAAAATCTTTACCGAACCTAAACTGCTTGCTAACTGAAAGGCTGTGATGACGGAGATCATCTGCGATTGCAGCTACACCAAGTACTGGTAACATAAAAACTCAAACAAAATGTATATTTTTAATGTCTTCATGCAATATATTCTGAGTTATCCACTTTATTCTGGCCCGCGAATTAATAGGATACAACTTTAAACATGTTTTTGAACGCCGCGAATTAAAAGGATACATTTAAAAATTAGCGTTCGAAAATAAAATGGGTGCGCGAATTAATAGAGACCGCGAATTAATCAAGTTTTTACGGTAATCAGGTTTGTACATTGTCCACCATCAAAAACCGATGTAAGGTTCTTGAGATAGCAGTGAAACAGACGGACACACACGTACACACATACAGACAAACCAACTGCAAAGACTCCCATTGTGTGCTTGGCACATGGGAGTCAAAAATCAGATAACCTCAGAAGACTGTTCAAAGCTGGCCAGAAAACGCTTGCCTGTCAAGAAATTGAGTTGCCAGTTGGTGATTTGACAGACCAACACTCACTCGCACAAACTTCATGATCAGAAGTGTGCGCGTCAACCCAGAAATTATCGATGTCGCGAGAGGGCGTCTACAAAGATCACAAGTCTTGTTTTTATTTCCTGATAACATGGTTTTTTTATTGAAAAAAAAACACCAACAAATAAACAAGAGACTGTATGCAAGTCTATACACAGGTTATCTAATACCTTATTGAACACACAATAATCAACTGTGATTTTTCAGAATTAAAAATTAACATTAACTTTTGAACAAATTTAAAGGACAAAACAAAAAATCTTACCACAGCAGACAGAGCTCTGACCACATGTATGGGACTTGAATAGTTACGCTTTGCGATACCAGATTGGTCTAAAAGTTGCAGAGCACATGGCAGTATGACAGCCTCAAACTAAAAACAAACAAATGAATACTGTTCAATTCGATGTAAATTTGAAATAAGAACAAACTAAGTGAAGAAAACATAACCATCCAACTTTACCTGGCCTTGATACCAAAAACTTCCACCAATCGTCCTACTGTTACCATAGTAATATCTATTGAAATCATTCAAGACGTACTCATTACGCTTGCTATCATCTTCCATGTAAACATCATCAGCTGCAATAAATGGATACAATTACAATCCAGCTGATTTAAAAGTGAGTGATCTGTACCTGTATACATTCCACATATTCACTTGTGTGAGTGTTATTCTCTCAACTACAGTTTTTACGATGCTCTAACCAAATAGACAAACTCAAAATTTGGTACACAAGTGTTTTCGACATGATTTGATTTACCTTTACACCAAGGATTGAATATCATATAGAACTCCTCTGGATTCTCAAATCTGAATTCATCTTTTCCTTCCACTGACGTCTCTACAAATAGTTTATACTTTGTAACAAGGCAATCAGCGGCAGAGTAGACAACACATTCTATTTTGTTCCCTTCAAATTTTACAACGTGTATTCCCCAGTCGTCTTCCTGTGATGTGGTCACTTGTGGTATGGGAACTCTAGTGCCATAATTGATACGTGGTCGTTTCCCTGTAATGCAAGATAGAACGAGTAGAATAGTCTATGAGGTTATTACTATCACTTGTAATCTCCACTACTAATTACAACAATGATACAAAATTATTTAAATGCAACTGAGAAACAGAACAACACACAGGACAGTCAGCTTTACGTCCCCTCTGACTGGATTCCATGTTCCAATTTTTCTCATTGACCATGGAAGTCACTTTAGAGTTGTAAAATCGAACAGATCTGTTATACCCACAAATATCAGATATTTAGGTTGATATGGTGGCGTGAGTGGCACCCTCCTCTAACAGCTCTAACCTCCACATAGGGAACTTATAATATACTAGTATCCTCCATACTCACCTGCTCTCAGCTCCAGTTCAATTTTGTGACTGTCTTCTTTAAATTCTTGGTTCAAGAATACAGTCAAATGAAATTTTTGTCCACGACGTACTACCAGTTCTTCTACTTCATACTCTTCTGTGTGATGCTCCGCACTATTTCTTTTTTTCTCCAAATCAATACTTACAACTTTCAATTGTTTATCTAGAGAAACACAATATTTAAGATTGTTTATTGGTATTCAATTGATTAATTAGGAATAACAAATTTCTCACAATTTTTAGTTTTTAGTAGACTCAAGTCATCAACTTTTGCTGTTTCTATTTGATGTATGTACAAAATATGTTGTTTTCAAAGAAATGTTTTGATAAGAATTCATTCTAAAGCATAACAAATAAAAATTAATATTATTATAATATTCTAATAATTTATTACAATAATCAATATCTATCTTGCATACAAATATTGTTTGTTTGTCTTGATATCAAACAAAATTTACTCATTATTTGCACTAATAGTGTAAATTGATCAAATCATAATTTTAAAAGTGTAGAACATTTATGGTGCAAAGCCATAAAACTGACAAGAAATAAGTAGGATGCACAGTTTAATATGTTCAGAGTTAGGACAATGTGGGAGGCACCAGCAGAAGAGGAAGTGTCACAGTTTTTACTATTTGTGATTATTATAAAACAATTAAGACAATCTCAAATGGACAATAAAGTCTGTAATTGGGGTAAATCACATGTCATATTAACATCATATTATTGTGCCAAGTAGCCATGAATCTATCTATATGTTTTAATCACACAAATATTGCACCATCTTCAAAATTATCATCATTCGAGGACTACAAGAAATCGCACACCATTGACTGAACCATATACATTATTATTTCTACATTTTAAGAGTGTAATAATTATGGAAGATGAAAGTCATGGTTGAGTAATCAGAACTTAAACTTAAATCAAAGAAAGCTTAGAAAG